CTGTCCGTTATATCCCTAACATTAATCACCTGAACAGGGTTTGGTACCTTAGTGGGTTGAAGCTGAGCTGGTCCTGGAGTGGTGATGTGGTTCAACTGGGTCTGTCACTCCCCAGCTGCAGGTTTGGGTGTGACCGCGATGGTGAACATACCCATGGTGTCTGGTCCGGATCGTACTGCTGCTAAGGTGTACACACCTGCGTCTGTAAGTTTAATGTCTTGGATGGTTAGTAGGATTTCATCGCCTTTACATGCACCCCCTTTTGACCCCTGCACACCCCTTATCATTGAAAACCTAGCTGCTTTAGAAGCATCTCCTAATGCATATGGATAGCCTCAACGCCATTCCCAGAAGGTGCCAACATTTGTGATCATATAGTCCCAATATGGACACCACTTTCCCTCACACAGATAAGTACCTCTCTTTAACACATGGGGATACATTTTGTTACAGTTTTCCTTCTGGTTCCAATTGCAACCAGTGTCCCCAATTCCACTAGCCCTATTCCTCCATGACCAGATCTTACATGGTTCTAGGGACATCACTTGAGATTCCCCTTCCTGTAAGGTAATGACTATATTATGATACTGACTGGAAGTCACTGTTCCCCTTAGGGCCAGCCCCACTACTAACCATAACATCCTCCCCTTCTGCAGCCAAGTCCTGTTGTACTTGATCTAGAGTTCTTCCTGGAGCTTTATCTTTGGCACAATGCGTTCTGTGGCACCACACGTCCTTCTTACTCGTGTTTACCCTCAGCGAGTGACTTGATACCTCTTTCACCTGAAAGGGTCCCTCCCACCTTGGCTCCGTCCACTTCCTGGAATGCACCTTTAGTCTCCCACCAGGATGTCTCTGTTCTCGTCCATGGTTTCAACAGCAGGAGTGCGCACTTCCACCACCTGTTTAGATAATCTTTCAACAAGAGAAATTAGCGCCTGCATGTAGTCTGTGTATCTGATTTTTGCAATATCTAGCCTAGGAATAATAAGATTGTCTGCTGGTGGCCCTGGCATTCTGCGTCCTGTCATAAGCTCATGTGGAGTCAAGTGGGTATCAGACCCAGGTGAATTTCTCATTGACATTAGAGCAAGGGGTAGGGCATTTCAGTTTGGTGCCTGCCATGATTTTAGCCATTTTTCATTTCAGAGTCTGGTTAGCGCGTTCAACAAGTCCCTGCGATTGGGGATGATACACTGACCCGAACTTGTGAGTGATCCCTAGGGCCTGTTCTACCTCTCTCAGGTGTTCATTCTTGAAATGGGTACCATTGTCGGAACGGATCATTCGCGGGACTCCAAACCTTGGAATGAGGTCTCGCCTCAACCACTTAATCACGGCCTTTGCGTCTTCTCTTGCTGTGGGGATGGCTTCCACCCATCTGGTGAATCTTTCCACCATTACCAACAGGTACCTTTTTCCTTCCACTCTGTTGTCCTGTCCCATGTCCGTGAAGTCTATGCAAACGTCTTGAAATGGTGCATCAGGTATTGGGAAGCTACCTATCACTGCTCCAAGTGACACTTTGTTGTTGTATTGTTTGCACACTTCACAGCTCTCTGATGTCTCTCTTGCCATGTCCAACATGTGTGGATGCCACCATGCTTTCTCAACTGATTTTGTGACACTTTTCCATCCTCCATGAGCCTTCTCATGCTCTTCCCTTAAGATTGATCTGAGGAGTTTTGCAGGTCCCACTGTTTTTCCTGTGTGAGATCTCCAAATCCCATGATGGTCTCGCCTTGCTCCCTGTCTGCTCCATACATTCTGTTCGTAGGCGCCTGCTGCTTCTTGCAACTGTCTTACTGTGTCTGTCGTCAATTCCTCCTGTCCTTGAGTGGCTCGTTGCACCATCTGCTGGGCAGTGTATCCTCCTGCATCCTTTGCTGCTTGATCAGCCCGATCATTTCCTTCACGCACTCTGGTGCTTTCTCTGCTGTGACCTTTGCACTTCATTATTGCCACTCGTTTGGGAAGCTGGATTGCATAAATTAACTTCTGTACTTCAACCTTGTGTTTGATGGGCTCATTTGAGCTGGTCACAAATCCTCTCCTCATCCACTGTGGTCCATCAATGTGTGCAATCCCATGTGAGTAGGCAGAGTCTGTGTAGATGTCCACATTCTTTCCTTCACTTAGTTGTAGAGCTCTCCTCAACGCCCTAAATTCAGCTAGCTGTGCTGAAGCTTCATTGGGACCAAGTTTCTCTGCTTCCATTACTTCATGTCCTCCTTCTGTGTCTTGTTTCACCACTGCATAGGCAGCAGTGTTTCCTTCCTTTGGGTCCTTTGACCTGTAGCAGCATCCATCAGTGAACAGGGTGATTTTGTTCCCCTCCAAGGGTGAGTTTTGCAGGTCCATTCGGACTTTGATCTGTTTGGCTGCTCTATCCTCACAGACATGTGGTTCTCCAAGACCCTATTGTAGCCATATTATTTATAGCTTATGTAATTGGAGGTTGTATTTAGCCTGTATCTGCCATTTACTATTGTATTTAATTTCCCCCTTTTCAGAACCACACACACTCTTGGTTAACACAGTTGTCAAGCCATACACTGTGCTGTGCCGTTACTGCTCTATGTGAATCATTGTCATTAAACAACCTCAACTGGAATCCTACCGGACTGTCATCTGTGCCCTTACAAGCACCTGGGAGCAGGGGCGGTGTGTTCATTAGGGCGATATGGGCGACGCACTGCCAAACGGGAAAAGGAAGGGATTTTTTTTCTAATCAATTATATCACGGCAACAGTAGTTATCAGTGTTCTAATCTAGACGTCTGATCTGCCACTAAATGTCCAATCAGGCTAAAGTCGTGCTTCAAATGGCCCCGCCCCTTTTGGGGCGATTTCAGTCAGGTTGAAAATCGCCCCAGAAGTCTCTCATAGACTCTCATGTAAAATCTTTTTTTTTCAAATATCAGAGCTTTCAATACAATCTCTATGGGTTCCGGGAGGGCTTGCACTTACGCGCTTTCGTCATACGTAACATAACCATGAACGTAACTAAGAAAAGAGCGGGTAGCAGCGTCAATCAATTCACGTACTACTGTCAAGATGGCTAGCGTTCAGTGCAACTCGATTGTCTCTTTGAAAGAAGTTCCTTTTTGTCGGCGAACAAATCAAGATAAATTGGCAATGAAACAATTAGGACCTCCCAGATCAAATTTAATAATTCAACAGGTTTCTACTAAAGGGGGAAAGTCCTACACCCGAGGATTTTCCAAAAATTGGTACGAACGAAAAACCTGGCTAGCAGGCTGCGATGTAGCTAATGCAGTCTTCTGCTACCCCTGCTTACTCTTTCACCCTGAAGGCGGCACGGCAGACAGCACCGCTTGGACAGCGACTGGTGTAACGGACATGCACCATCTTTCAGAAAAGATTAAGAAACATGAGCTGTCAAAGACCCACATGGATAGCTGTTTGAGATTGTCTGCTTTGGGGAGAGTGAACATTGCCACTCAACTGGATGAGGGATACAGGCTAGCTGTCCGCCGCCACAACGATGAGGTTAGCAAGAACCGCCACATCCTCAGCCGGCTAATCCAGTGTGTGAAGTAAAAAAAAAGTTTTAAAAAAAACATTCTGTTCATGTTCATTTTTACTAATCTATACAATTGGCCAGAATATGGTTGTTCATATTTACAAATCTATACAATTGGCCAGAATATGGTTGTTCATTTTTACAAAGCCATACAGATAGCTGTGTTTACCTTTTCTAGAAATTATTTTCAAATTCTGTTTTCAGGCAAAATGTCTATCACTGTTCATTTTCACAAATCTATACAAGAGGGCAGAATATGGAAGTCTATGAAAATTTCTTATTACCAATAACTTGCATCAATGTTTTCAGTAGCCTCTATCAAAAGCTCCTGCTTGCTTGTTGTGAATTATGCTCAGGTGCACATATTTCCAATTCAACCATGAGGCCTTTTTGAAGCAAGTAATGTGTATATCAGAATTCTTTAGTTAAACTTAGCAGCACCTCATCATTCTGGTTTGGTCTTCAATGTGTAAAGCCAAGATGCCCAGACCACACTAGGTCAAGCCTCACTTGTTCATTCCCCTATTTGGGACAACGTTACTTTGCTTTTATTAAGTAGCACTTTGGTCATATCCTACATTCCACAAAATGTAGTTCTAAAGATCCACTTCAGTGTTGCCAGATCTCGCGAGACAAATAAGCAACCAGGCCTGTGAAAAAAAGCCCAAAACTAGCAACTTTTTCTACGGAGCCCCCCTAGGTTCTGGGTGTAGGTCACCTAAATCATCAGAAAAATTGCCCCCCCTGAGAATTTTTTCAGGAGCAGCCACTGCCTGGGAGAGAACACATAGTGCTAAGTAAAACCTAAACCTACAGAATATACAGTCCACCAGGTCCTCAACTACAGATAGGCCTATATATGTAACATTTGTTACAACTGTGTTATTGGTTAAATGTGTTAAATGAAGTCACACAAACGACTTCTAGGATGGAAGTTTCAGACTTAATGTATTCAGTGATGATAGAGCAGCGGAATTAAATTCAGGTTGAGTCGTCAGGCAATAATTATACTACCATGTGTTTGTCTTTAGGGCTCATTCCTAACCTTTTGAAATATTGGCTGAATATTGCTAGAATAAAAAGTTATATCAAAGGCAAGCCATGCACTTCCTGTCATTCACTGGGATTAGTCCAAAAACTCCTCCTACACTGTCACGCGCATGATAATGCGGCGTTCATCTCCGACTTCCGATTTTAGTGCGTTCAAGACAACTGGGAACTCGGGAAAAAAAACATCCCGACTGGGAAAAATCGTTTTGGACGGTCATTCAACTCGGAATTTTAATTTAGGAACTCGGGCCTCTTTCTAGAGTTCCGACTTTCCGACCTGAAGAGCACAGACGTCATGATTTTACCTCGTATTTTTCCGAATTCCCAGTTGTCTTGAAAGCACCATAAGAGTAGGCGCCCAATCTCATGGTTTCAGAGTGCGTCATTTCAGACAAACAGTGAACATGGCGGGTCTAGTAGCAAGGAAGTGCATCACCCCTCTTGTTGTGATCAAAAGGCTCTCTTACCCGGAATATAAAGCCCAAGCCGCCTACCACGAGAAGGTAAAAATAACCTGTATAACTAGCTGTGGTTGATAGCTGATAAATTCAACCAAGTGTGACTGTTGAGGTCGTAAACTCGCCCAACGTGAATGGCTTGGTAGCTAACGTTTGACAACTAGTAGGTTAGCTACCTACATTAGCCGGTAACTAAACTTGCCCAGAAGCAATGGTAGCTACGCTAGCTAGGTTGCATTGATTATGTATTTGTTTAGATTTGTCATACAGTACACTAGTTAGTTGAAATATATTCATTAAAGAATGCGGTAGCTTAGGTAACAACATGCGTCACACGCCTTGCCTAGTACTGTTAACTTAGATACAGTTAATTAGCTAAGGTTACCTTTACAGTCTAAATAACATGTTAGAAGATCGTTTTTTTATGGTAATTTTTTCTGCCAATGCAATGTTCATGTACAGCAGCATGTCGGTGAGGCTGGTGTTATTTGAAGGTTAATCTGTTACTTCCTGAGCTGTTAGCTATTTCCACAGTTGTTTTGTTAACAGGTACCTAACTAACTCATTTAGTTACGCTAGGTGACATGTACTGAAGCAGCATCCATAGTGGTAGCCCTGGCAATACGCAGTTTCATTGATTCTGGATGTTATTACAGAAAGTCTGAAATAATAACATTTCCACAGTAACTCGGTTTCTGTTTTAACCTACATTAGATATATGTTAAGAGGACATCCTAGTCCTTGATCATGACTCTCCGTTCCATTACATTACACATAAGTCATTGGACGAAGGCCTCTTCTATACGGAGACGTTTTAAACGCTCGGTCTGAACATTGAAGGCCAAATCAAACAAAGTGTGTTTTTACGAGCGTGTATGCGCTTCAAATTAGAAAGCAAAAATAGATACATTGGTAAAGTGAGCGGATAAATTGCCAGAAAATAGACTGTTTGTGCATTGTTACGTCTGGAATTGTGACACTTATCGTTAAGTGTATATTTGAGCAATAAGGCTCGAGGGGTGTGGTATATGGCCAAATTACATTTACATTTACGTCATTTAGCAGACGCTCTTATCCAGAGCGACTTACAAATTGGTGCATTCACCCTATAGCCAGTGGGATAACCACTTTACAATAGTTTTTATTTTTATTTTTATTTATTTTTTTTGGGGGGGGGGGGTAGAAGGATTACTTTATCCTATCCCAGGTATTCCTTAAAGAGGTGGGGTTTCAAATGTCTCCGGAAGGTGGTGAGTGACTCCGCTGTCCTGGCGTCGTGAGGGAGTTTGTTCCACCATTGGGGTGCCAGAGCAGCGAACAGTTTTGACTGGGCTGAGCGGGAACTATGCTTCCGCAGAGGAAGGGGAGCCAGCAGGCCAGAGGTGGATGAACGCAATGCCCTCGTTTGGGTGTAGGGACTGATCAGAGTCTGAAGGTACGGAGGTGCCGTTCCCCTCACAGCTCCATAGGCAAGCACCATGGTCTTGTAACGGATGCGAGCTTCAACTGGAAGCCAGTGGAGTGTGCGGAGGAGGGGGGTGACGTGAGAGAACTTGGGAAGGTTGAACACCAGACGGGCTGCGGCATTCTGGATGAGTTGTAGGGGTTTAATGGCACAGGCAGGGAGCCCAGCCAACAGCGAGTTGCAGTAATCCAGACGGGAGATGACCAGTGCCTGGATTAGGACCTGTGCCGCTTCCTGTGTAAGGCAGGGTCGTACTCTCCGAATGTTGTAGAGCATGAACCTGCAGGATCGGGTCACCGCCTTGATGTTAGCGGAGAACGACAGGGTGTTGTCCAGGGTCACGCCAAGGCTCTTCGCACTCTGGGAGGAGAACACAACGGAGTTGTCAACCGTGATGGCGAGATCATGGAACGGGCAGTCCTTCCCCGGGAGGAAGAGCAGCTCCGTCTTGCCAGGGTTCAGCTTGAGGTGGTGATCCGTCATCCATACTGATATGTCTGCCAGACATGCAGAGATGCGATTCGCCACCTGGTTATCAGAAGGGGGAAAGGAGAAGATTAGTTGTGTATCGTCAGCGTAGCAATGATAGGAGAGGCCATGTGAGGATATGACAGAGCCAAGTGACTTGGTGTATAGGGAGAAAAGGAGAGGGCCTAGAACTGAGCCCTGGGGGACACCAGTGGTGAGAGCACGTGGTGCGGAGACAGCTTCTCGCCACGCCACTTGGTAGGAGCGACCGGTCAGGTAGGACGCAATCCAGGAGTGAGCAGCGCCAGAGATGCCCAGCTCGGAGAGGGTGGAGAGGAGGATCTGATGGTTCACAGTATCAAAGGCAGCAGACAGGTCTAGAAGGACAAGAGCAGAGGAGAGAGAGTTAGCTTTAGCAGTGCGGAGAGCCTCCGTGACACAGAGAAGAGCAGTCTCAGTTGAATGACCAGTCCTGAAACCTGACTGGTTTGGATCAAGAAGGTCATTCTGAGAGAGATAGCAAGAGAGTTGGCTAAAGACGGCACGCTCAATAGTTTTGGAAAGAAAAGAAAGAAGGGATACTGGTCTGTAGTTGTTGACATCAGTGGGATCGAGTGTTGGTTTTTTGAGAAGGGGTGCAACTCTCGCTCTCTTGAAGACGGAAGGGACATAGCCAGCGGTCAAGGATGAGTTGATCAGCGAGGTGAGGTAGGGGAGAAGGTCACCGGAGATGGTCTGGAGAAGAGAGGAGGGGATGGGGTCAAGCGGGCAGGTTGTTGGGCGGCCTGCAGTCACAAGTCGCAAGATTTTATCTGGAGAGAGAGGGGAGAAAGAAGTCAAAGCATAGGGTAGGGCAGTGTGAGCAGGACCAGCAGTGTCATTAGACTTAACAAACGAGGATCGGATGTCGTCAACCTTCTTTTCAAAGTGGTTGACGAAGTCATCCACAGAGAGGGAGGTGGGGGGGAGGATTCAGCAGTGAGGAGAATGTGGCAAAGAGCTTCCTAGGGTTAGAGGCAGATGCTTGGAATTTAGAGTGGTAGAAAGTGGCCTTAGCAGCAGAAACAGATGAAGAAAATGTAGAGAGGAGGGAGTGAAAAGATGCCAGGTCAGCAGGGAGTTTAGTTTTCTTCCATTTCCGCTCAGCTGCCCGGAGCTCTGTTCTGTGAGCTCGCAATGAGTCATCAAGCCACGGAGCTGGAGGGGAGGACCGAGCCGGCCGGGAGGATAGGGGACACGGGAGTCAAAGGATGCAGAAAGGGAGGAGAGGAGGGTTGAGGAGGCAGAATCAGGAGATTGGAGGGAGAAGGATTGAGCAGAGGGAAGAGATGATAGGATGGAAGAGGAGAGAGTAGTGGGAGAGAGAGAGCGAAGGTTGCGGCGGCGCGTTACCATCTGTGTAGGGGCAGAGTGAGTAGTGTTGGAGGAGAGCGAGAGAGAAAAGGATACAAAGTAGTGGTCGGAGACATGGAGGGGAGTTGCAGTGAGATTAGTAGAAGAGCAACATCTAGTAAAGATGAAGTCAAGCGTATTGCCTGCCTTGTGAGTAGGGGGGGACGGTGAGAGGGTGAGGTCAAAAGAGGAGAGGAGTGGAAAGAAGGAGGAAGAGAGAAATGAGTCAAATGTAGACGTAGGGAGGTTGAAATCCCCCAAAACTGTGAGGGGTGAGCCATCCTCAGGAAAGGAACTTATCAAGGCGTCAAGCTCATTGATGAACTCTCCAAGGGAACCTGGAGGGCGATAGATGACAAGGATATTAAGCTTAAATGGGCTAGTGACTGTGACAGCGTGGAATTCAAATGAGGAGATAGACAGATGGGTTAGGGGAAAAATTGAGAATGACCACTTGGGAGAGATGAGGATTCCTGTGCCACCACCCCTCTGACCAGATGCTCTCGGGGTATGCGAGAACACATGGTCAGACGAGGAGAGAGCAGTAGGAGTAGCAGTGTTTTCAGTGGTAATCCATGTTTCCGTCAGCGCCAGGAAGTCGAGGGACTGGAGGGTAGCATAGGCTGGGATGAAGTCAGCCTTGTTGGCAGCAGAACGGCAGTTCCAGAGGCTGCCTGAGACCTGGAACTCCAGGTGTGTGGTGCGTGCAGGGACCACCAGGTTAGAGAGGCAGCAGCCACGCGGTGTGAGGCGTTTGTGTAGCCTGTGCGGAGAGGAGAGAACAGGGATAGGCAGAGGCATAGTTGACAGGCTGTAGCAGATGGCTACAACAATGCAGAGGAGATCGGAATGAAATGAACTAAACATCTGGGAAAGGAGAGAGCAGGGCCTCCCTCACCAAAAAAATATAACTCTCCCAACTTCCACCTCAGAAACTATAATTGTTTCACTGAACCACCCGAATAAAACTCTCCCAACTTCCACTTTAGAAATTAGAATTGTTTTAAACTACAGCGGTTCAATGTTTCAAGGAATAGACTCAACTTACTTTATTCAGCTAACTAACTATGACGCCATAGCTAACTAGCATGCTAGCATCCAATAACACACAGTTTAGCACCAATACTTGGTTACAACAAATTACCAATAGTGTGTTAACACACTAAACAGATAATTTGTGTCCGTGTCTAGTTCTTTCATAACGCAGCAATAATTAAACGTTGGCTAGCTAGCACAAAGATATTGTATTTAGCTACTACAGTACAGCTAGCTGGTAGTGTTGGCTAGCTAGCAATGGCTGCTGTGTTGACTTTGTTTGAAAAACGGCGTCGCTGCGAATGAATGTAGCTGGCTAAAAGGATATTGTATTTACCGAGGTGAGTTAGCTAGCTAGCTTCGTGCTACACCCGGCACCGCCGAATACAAAAGTAACCTACAATAACTACATACAACAACTACCCACAACAACCCACGATGCCTAGCTACAATACCCAACTACAATCTAAATACATAGTTTAAGCCTTACTCGACAAAGCCCAAGCTATGCATAAAGCCAAACTTACCCGACGCCAGCTATCTGGGTGGTTTTCTGCAATCAGTAGCTGTAATTAAGTACACTAGCTACTAACTACCTAACGTTAATGCTTCAGATAATGAGGTTAGAAAAACAGCTGAATGGTAGGTAGCTAGCTGGCTTAATTACAGATACTCTTAAGCGTGAAATAACATTGGAAACAACTATCCACCGTTGCTAAAAGTTACCAGTGGCTACCCGCTAGCTAGCTAGCTCTATCGGTTAATGCTTCAGATAATGAGGTTAGAAAAACAGCTGAATGGTAGGTAGCTAGCTGGCTTAATTACAGGTACTCTTAAGCGTGAAATAACATTGGAAACAACTATCCACCATTGCTAAAAGTTACCAGTAGCTACCCGCCAGGTTAGCTAGCCTCGTGCTTCGCCGGGCTCACTCGAATACAATACTTACCTACAATAATTACCTATAATTACCTACAATAACTACCTAAATAAACTACCTACAGTATCTAACTACAATACCTACCTACCTACAATCTAAATACATGGTTTAAGCTTTACTCAACACCATATAAGAAGCCAAGCTTACCTCCTGCTAGAGAAAACACAACCTCACCCGACGTGAATACCGGCAGACTGCATAGCATAGAGGCTCTGAGTCTCCATGAACACACGGCAGTGAAAATGCCATACCTGCGCTGACTTGAGGAGCTGTAGTCAACCAACGTGTAGCTAGCTTACCATCACAACCTAGTGAGGCTAAGGGCTGTTCTTAGGACACAGCCCTTAGCTGTGGTATATTGGCCATATATCACACCCCCCAGGTGCCTTATTGCTATTATAAACTGGTTACCAACATAATTAGACCAGTGAAAATAAATGTTTAGTCATATCCATGGTATATGGTCTGATATGCCACTGCTTTCAGCCAATCAGCATTCAGGTCTCGAACCACCCAGTTTATAATTGGTTTTATACATCGGCTAGGTCTAATCCTGAATGCTGATTGGTTAAAACCGCATTCCAGCTGGTGTCTATTCCACAAGTTGCCACAGGCTAAATCTATGACATTAAAATGCCTATTTACTCTGTTCCATCTGACTGCGCAATCCACTGTCTCATCAGCCCAGCCAGGCAACGTATAAACTTGATCTCCACAATAAAAAGCATCTACAGTCGTGGTCAAAAGTTTTGAGAATGACACAAATATACATTTTCAAAGTCTGCTGCCTCAGTTTTTATGATGGAAATTTGCATATACTCCAGAATGTCATGAAGAGTGATCAGATTAATTGCAAAGTTCATCTTTGCCATGAAAATGAACTTAATCCCAAAAAAACATTTCCACTGCATTTCAGCCCTGCCACAAAAGGACCAGCTGACATCATGTCAGTGATTCTCTCGTTAACACAGGTGAGAGTGTTGACGAGGACAAGGCTGGAGATCACTCTGTCATGCTGATTGAGTTAGAATAACAGACTGGAAGCTTTAAAAGGAGGGTGGTGCTTGAAATATTGTTCTTCCTCAGTTAACCATGGTTACCTGCAAGGAAACACGTGCCGTCATCATTGCTTTGCACAAAAAGGGCTTCACAGGCAAGGATATTGCTGCAAGTAAGATTGCACCTAAATCAACCATTTATCGGATCATCAAGAATTTCAAGGAGAGAGGTTCAATTGTTGTGAAGAAGGCTTCAGGGCGCCCAAGAAAGTCCAGCAAGCGCCAGGACCGTCTCCTAAAGTTGATTCAGCTGCGGGATCGGGGCACCACCAGTGCAGAGCTTGCTCAGGAATGGCAGCAGGCAGGTGTGAGTGCATCTGCATGCACAGTGAGGCAAAGACTTTTGGAGGATGGCCTGGTGTCAAGAAGGGCAGCGAGGAAGCCACTTCTCTCCAGGAAAAACATCAGGGACAGACTGATATTCTGCAAAAGGTACAGGGATTGGACTGCTGAGGAAAAAAGCTTGTCCGGAGAAGACGAGGTGAGCGCTACCATCAGTCCTGTGTCATGCCAACAGTAAAGCATCCTGAGACCATTCGTGTGTGGGGTTGCTTCTCAGCCAAGGGGGTGGGCTCACTCACAATTTTGCCTAAGAACACAGCCATGAATAAAGAACGGTACCAACACATCCTCCGAGAGCAACTTCTCCCAACCATCCAAGAACAGTTTGGCGAAAACAATGCCTTTTCCAGCATGATGGAGCACCTTGCCATAAGGCAAAAGTGATAACTAAGTGGCTCGGGGAACAAAATATCGACATTTTGGGTCCATGGCCAGGAAACTCCCCAGACCTTAATCCCATTGAGAACTTGTAGTCAATCCTCAAGAGGCGGGTGGACAAACACAAACTCCAAGCATTGATTATGCAAGAATGGGCTGCCATCAGTCAGGATGTGGCCCAGAAGTTAATTGACAGCATGCCAGGGCGGATTGCAGAGGTCTTGAAAAAGAAGGGTGAACACTGCAAATATTGACTCCTTGCAATTGTTTGAATAAACCTCTTATTGCTGATAAATAAGTTCTGCCTGATTCCTCTAACGAGTTTTCCTCAACAATGCTAAGTAAGTTAATTAGCTAAAATGCCAAAGTTGTTTGTGTAAGGTGAGTCAAAAGGAACAATCTCAGGCCTCATTTTTCAAGTGAAGGTCTTTTAAGGGAGTATGCGAGCACACTCATTCGGTTCGCCTAGCCGAGTTCGGCTAGGCACCAGCCAAACTGAAGCATGCTTACGCCTTAACCCCTAGCCTAGTTAACGTTAGCCACCTAGCTAATGTTAGCCACAACAACAAATTGGAATATGTAACATGTCATGTTTTGCAAATTGCAATTCGTAACATCTCATACGAAATGGATGATGGACATCCACAAATTAATACATATTATACGAAATGTAACGTCATACTAATTAGTTTTCTCAGATTTACATTTACTATTTTACGTCTACCCCTGAGTCCAGGTTGGGGAAAACTGTGTATAGTAACTGTATATTTTGCATGTGAAATTATTTTAATGTGATATGAAATTAGAGGGATTTATGTTTTTAGAACCGGTACCACAATTGAGAACGATTCACGTTTAGATGGAGTATTTGGCTGTTTTGGCTTTCAGAGCCAGTTCACATTTTAAACAGAACATGTAAGGTCCTTGGAGTATAAGGAGTAACTTTAGGCTCCTTTCGTCCAATAGTGGGCTAACAATATCCATGTAGCTAGTATACTGAAGAGAGTGCATAATCCATGAGAATAAAATCTATTTTGTGGAATTGTCCATTTTGTATATATTGTTTAGGCTAGCATTTCATTACTCATTCTGAACATACTGTATGAATAGCTTATATAGACAGCCTACTGGAATGTTAACAAAGCCTTTTTTGGCCAAAAGGAACATAAGCGCAGTCATTTCCGGCTGCTCCCAGAGATATGTGACGAGATTTAGATTTAGGCTAGGCCTAATCAAAACCCCTATACATATCTACCTCTATCACTCCCGTATCCCTGCACATTGTAAATATGGTACTGGAACTGACTGACCCTGTATATAGTATGCTTGCTTACTTTCTTGTGTTCTTATTTTTATTTCTTGTGTGTTTTTGTTCTACCTTATGTTATTTTTAGTATTACACTGTTATTGATAACTGCATTGTTGGGTTTAGAGCTTGCAAGAAAGGCATTTCACTGTGCTTGTGCACGTGACATTTAAAAACTTGAAACTTGAATAATACAACTATTAACAGTACCAACTGGCCCCAAACAAATTCACCAGGGCCTCATTACCCAGTTACGTTTTACCTTAAGCATTACGGTGATCTTACCAGATAGGCCTAATCAATGCATCGTTATTTACGAGCCAACTTTACTAGCCAAGTGTTTCCCAAACAAGCACATAGAGAGATCGTTCGCTAATTTCGTCGTTAGACCATGTGTCGATACTGATGGGATCAAAAGTAAAGCAACACTGCTCTCGGATCAGGTTTCTCCATTCAAATCTTACCTTAGAATTATTCCACAATACTGACGACAGATCAGCTCATAGAGAGATATTACCACCTATGGCTGCAAATATTGAGGCGGCTTATTCTAAATGCTTACCCTATAATAATGCACTAAATCAAGATTTGGCACATCATTGCGCACGTTGCACATCATGAAATATATTGAGGAAAAATTAGACAGCCTAGAATTCAATTGAATGAACATAACATTTAGTTCAATGTGATTGAAAGAACAGGCCTATAATGTTCTTTTTCTTTTGCAGCCATCTCGGTTCTCATTTGAAGCATCGTCTTATCCTTCGCTTATTTGTAACAATTGCAAAGACATTGGCAACTTTGTATTTGTAGTCAACTTCATTCTGAAGTTATCGGTGGTTACAGAGACAGATAAGCCTGATTCTGTGTTTTAGAATGTATAAAGTGACAGAAGGGCAAAAAAACAAACATCTAACGACGCAGTTGGCTGTTCTATGAGTGGTCTGACTGAGGCAGTCGGTAAATAAGGGTTTTCAAATGCAACTTTAGTAACTATGGTTTTGGGAAACAGCTCGGCTACTCAAGATGCATCGTAAGATGGTTCTAACAATGATCTTAATGCTACGAATGCTCTGGGAAACGAGGCCCTGATATTTAGGATATTCAGACAGACCTCATGATGATAATCTCGTCAAAAACTTTGTTCCCAGCATTGTTCAATAGTGTAGAGAATGACTCAGCATCATGGCTATTACGTCTGGGGGGAGGGAGGTTGCAACAGGAATTACTGTTGTGGACAGTGGAGCCCAGTCCTAATCTTTTTATTTTAATTTGCCTTACGTAATGTCAACTCCTCGTTGCGTAACAGCAATGCAAGAGGCCTCTCAGCCTTGAGCCTGCTTTTTTGGGAGACAGTCGGAATGTGATTTAGGATGCTGTTATGTGAATGTTTGTAACTGAAGCAAGGAACATTCCCAAGAGGGGGTCATCATAAGCTTGAATTAAGTGGAATTTACAATATGATGTTGACTAACCATGACATTTCTTTCCTTTTTCCAATTTTTAGGTAGTGGACCACTATGAGAATCCAAGGAATGTTGGATCCCTGGACAAGACCTCCAAGAATGTGGGTACAGGCTTGGTGGGTGCCCCAGCTTGTGGAGATGTGATGAAACTGCAGGTGCGTTGGTCCCCTGTCCTCATTACTCCCTCTGTTTCACCAAGTCCACCTCACAGGAACCTCCGATGGCCTGGGATTCTGAATGAAGTCACAATTTGCTGTGTTCCAAAGAAGTCTCAACACAGATGGGATTTACAGAGAAGCGGCATGCTCTATTTAGTTACCAAGCATATGTGTTTTAGTAATGTAACAACATTGTTTATGAATTCATTTATGTGGACAAAAGTCACAGTTGAATAAAGTGACTCCTTTCCTCTCTGCAGATTGAGGTAGACGATCAGGGGAAGATTGTGGACGCCAGGTTCAAGACGTTTGGCTGTGGCTCAGCCATCGCCTCCAGCTCCCTGGTAACGGAGTGGGTGAAGGGCAAATCTGTGAGTGAACATTCTGCACCCATGACACTTAATCTGCTTCCTGTTTCACTGTTCTGTCTGAATGTTGCTCTAGTTGCGTGTCTCTATTCAAGTCTTTTCCGCCACCCTGTTTATTTGTTCCTTTTGTTACATATCATGGTTGGATGGAGTGTATTTCTTGGTTGATGGAATGTTGCTGCCTTGGCTTTCAGATTGACGAAGCACTGACAATAAAGAACACGGACATTGCCAAAGAGCTCAGTCTTCCACCGGTCAAACTTCACTGCTCCAGTAAGCCCTTATTTCAGTTTAATATCTAAGGCTGTTCTTTCCCAACTGTCTAACAAGTTGGAAAATTCTAAACCATTTATTTTTGACCTATTATTAAACTCATTTGAAATTCCTGACTGTGCCCTTTTCTCCAGTGCTGGCTGAGGATGCCATCAAAGCTGCCCTCCATGACTACCGTCTCAAACAACAGGATGGCAAGATTGAGGCTGTCAAAGCCAGCAACTAAGTGAGGGCTTTGCCAATGTTATCCTGAACACCAGTGTCCTGCACCCTACTACCAAGGGGACACTAAGTGTAGTCCTGGATCCCCACTCCACCACCCTTCTATATATGGGGCACCCTAAATGAGTCCAGGTTATGTCCACCCATACAACGGACATAGATAGCACAGTATACACACCGAGCCCCTGTGGCATTATGTTTTTCCAATCTTTACTCTAGCCTGTCATGTTAACGCACAATTTAAGGGCACTGATCGGGGGATTGGTACAAAGTAAGTCTTATTTTCAAGAGTGAAAAATGTGAAGTGAGTCGAGTGGACGAGACTTGAGTTTGCTTTGTTTTTGTTTGCGCTTTGTTTAGTATTTTGTCATGGTTTGGGGGTCTGTTCCATTGGGAACTGATTCTGGTTGCAGTGGTGGAAGTATTGAATAAAACTTCTAAGGCTGTCTTCGTATCCCATCAACACTCATGTACTAATGATTTGAAGGCAATGATAAAATGCAATGCGGAAGATGTAAAACAAACGGTAGCAAACTATCAAGGTATCTATTTTGATTGTTTAGTGACATTTCAGACATCATTCCTGGTTGTAATGCAAAGTAATAAAGTAATATGTGTAAGTAGTATGGCATGTCTGTCTTTTTGTTTTAGTCATTTAAAGTCTATAATCAGCTTTTAGGTATTATCTGGTATTTGGCTACTGGTGTGTGGACTACCAGATAAGAAATTGAAGCAGTGCTGTATTTCTCCACCAGATGGGAGCATTGGCATACTTTATCCAGAGCCGTTTTATACACGCTCCGACTTCATTCATCCATTCAGATAAATGGTTCTGCTTTTATCATTACCAACCCAAACACTCAACACATTTTAGAAAGCTGCTGTTTCTTACTGTCTTCACAAAATCTACTGTATTCAACCAAAGTACAATATGGAAATTGAGAAAAAAAGCCGCACACTTTTTATACAGTTTACTCTCCATTAGTCGGCACCTCTACAAACATTTGGATTGTGCATCAGTGCATGTTTTCAACCACACCGGATTAACCAGCCTATATTGTAACAGTACAAGTGTAACAGACTGTTGTGTTGGGTGCTTTCCCAAGTTCTGGCACAGGACCTGGGTCTGCAGCAGAGCAACTGTTGTCCCTTAAAGGGCCAATCTGGAGTTGCTACATATTTTTGGACTGTTTAATGATATATATAGGCATTGATTCTTGAAGAATATAACTTATAAATGCTTCATGAGCTTAGTTCAACTGTCATTCCCCATCAGAACCCCAAACTATAAGCTTGTTTTACTCCAATGTTTGTAAACGAACACTGTATAGCTTCAAAACATGGTTAACTATCAGTTTGATCTCATGGTTGGTCAGTCCTTGCATCCATAGCTCTATCTATGAATTTGAGAGTTGTTACATTTCTTAAGCCTCATCCCTCAGCTGTTTACCAAAACAAGTAGCTGGGTGGGTGCTTTGTTCTTGTTTGAACTCCGGATTGGCCCTTTAATGGAGATGTTTAAAGAGAAAGGATAAACATTTGACTAACCAAACGATAAACACAGGTTTTATAATGCAAAAATACCTCCCTTAATGTAGGAAACCTGCTAAGTTGAAGTTGTTGCAGATGCTGCACCATGGGGTCCTCATGGTGAATTTACCATCTACTTATCCATATTTGTTCTTCAAGGGAAAGCAATCTCATGTTGCCCTAAATAATGATCTCTTACCTGGGATTAACACCTCACTAACCTACCAATGAATGGAAGAGAGAGAAAAACAAAAGGCAGTACTTTGTACAAATACAAATAACACTAAAACCTCAAACAAGACTACAGCATCCATAGGGGTGTATGCTCAAGTTACATAATATACCCTTTAGGGTGTGACATGGAAAGATGGCTACTGGGAAACAAAAGTTAAAGTATATGATTACATACAACTGAATAGACATCATTTGGTAAATCCAAAGAGCGGGATGTAAAGCTGACAGCTTTGCTTTAAAGATTGTCACTCATGCAAAAGCATCCAAACCATTGAGCTCAAACATAATGTCCACTGCAGTGGAGGCTGGTGGGAGGAGCTATAGGAGGATGGGCTCTTTGTAATGGCTGGAATGGAATAAATGGAACGAGATCAAACATATGGAAACCACATGTTTGACTCCGTTCCATTGATTCCATTCCAGCCATAACAATGAGCCTGTCTTGCTATAACTTCTTCCACTGGTCCACTGTCCAGCATAGTTAAAATGCTGTTTTCTCCCCAGTGATCAACGGAATAGACTGCGTGACAGTGGAGTCCTCCTGACTATCCCCTTCCTGCTGGGCCTGTGAGTGCCCTGGGCCAGATGGAAGCGCAGCTCTTGTGAGTGACTCATCATCCTCTGTTTGGCCTATATGTCCTGGAAGGATCTCTGGCTGCTTGGGGCAGCTGTAGTGTTGGGCCTCACTGTCTGAGAGCTGGCATACCTCCTCCTCGCTCTGCTCAGGTGGAATCGATGGCTCGTTGTCTTTCTCTATGATTTCTCCCTCAGCCTGAACATTCACCTCAGGACTTTTCTCTGCAGCTGCAGCTATCTGTGTTGGGTTGTTTCCCTCTCGCTCGCCCAGGGGAGGTTTGGAGGGAGTGCGGAGGTTCTTGGCTGCCCTCATGATGTCTTGTTGGAGCTGCTTGCTGGAATCCATTGGTTCAGCCTGCTGCCCATTGGAGGGTTTCTCTGGCACCTCGTTGAAGAGCTTGGTACCTCCGGTCTTGTCCCTCTGGTCCACGTACATCTTAGAGGGGAAGGACGAGGGGTAGTAGGCATTGACCTTCCGTTTGCGGCTCATGATGCAAGCACAGCAGAGGATGAGGAAGATGGTGATGAAGAGGATGGAGGCAACAAGGATGAGGAGCATGTTCTCCTGCAGGAAGTGAACCATCAGGCTGAGCAGGAAGGGCTCTACGTGGGTGGACCCATCTGAGGTGGTTGGGGACTCTGATGCGGGGCCACTGGTGGCAGGTGGGGAAGGGGTGGGGATGAGGCTTCCCAGCTCCTCCCCCTCTGCACTGCCCTCCAAGGAAATGTTGAAAGGGAGGGGTGTGGCCAGACTGGGACTGCTGGACCACAGCATCACAGAAAGACCAATCAGATGAAGTGCCATGAGGAATGTCATCTCCTGTAGGACCTGCAGAAAACAAAACAAGAACAGTGTCAGTGCTGCAGTAACTGTTGTCAATTTGCATTTCCACTGTTATTGAATTGCACAGACAGTGACAGCGAACATCTACTGCTTTTTGTGAGTGTTGCACAAAACATTGTAAAGGCTTCACTCATCTACAATGAATGAAAATATATTCGGAGTAATTTCTATTCTTGATAGAATGTCTATAGCTGTAGAGCCCTAAATGGCATTTTAAGACTGAGACAGCAGCTGAGAACTGATGAGAGGCAGGCAGGATTTAAAGTCTGGATTCCAATCATAGCATGTCACAAGCAGGCAAACACACAATGACAATGCACACAGACAGATACAGTATATGCACACAAAGGCCTCGATTCAATCAGATTCATCAAGAGCATCCTGACTGGTTGCATCACCGCCTGGTATGGCAACTGCTCAGCCTCCGACCGCAAGGCGCTACAGAGGGTAGTGCATACGGCCCAGTACATCACTGGGGCCAAGCTTCCTGCCATCCAGGACCTCTATACCAGGCGGTGTCAGAGGAAGGCCCTAAAAATTGTCAAAGACTCCAGCCACCCTAGTCATAGACTAGTCTCTCTGCTACCGCACGGCAAGCGGAACCGGAGCGCCAAGTCTAGGTCCAAAAGGCTTCTTAACAGCTTCTACCCCCAAGCCATAAGACTCCTGAACAGCTAATCATGGCTACCCAGACTATTTCCATTGCCCCCAGCAGATCATTGTTAAGTCGATGTCGGAGGTGTAAGTTAACTGCAATGGCGCTGTCAAATTGGTGAGCGGCTGCTCTTGTGGTCATTGTCACGACGCCACACCCATCCAACACGCGTTCAAAGCTCAGAACGAGAAAGTGTAGGCTATATGGAAATAATGACACTCAAATCATTAGCCTAATCGAGTTGTAGATTACAACACACATTCCAGTGTTTAAACTTGTAACAAGGCTGCATGGAATTTCTACTAATGAGACTTGGTGGCAATGTCTGCGATAGGTATAACGATGGGAGCCGCTTGCTGATATGACAGCTCCAACGCAGTTACACCTCCGTGGGTTACTGAACTGATTGAATCTAGGCCAAACTCCTGACAGTTACTGATATTTGGTTACATGACTAAAGAGTTCATCCTATTTTGTCAATCTGCTTCTGGTCAATGTGAATTTATTTAAACAACGTCTCCTTTTCATGATGCTTCCCAGAAATACATCACGACTCTCTCATTTCCCTGAAATTGAATTTGGCTTAAAACAATCAACTAAACTTTCCTGCACAGTGTATAGGAGAGCTCCCTATAAATCACTGTCACCAATTTTTTTTTTTTACATTTTCCCTGGCTGCCACTACTCTTGCTCAACAAAAAATGTTACCCCGATACTTGGGAAAAATGCCCCTTTACAATTTTTAAAAATCATTAAATAACAAAAAAAGTGTAAACTGTAACCGCTTATTTCCCTCCATAGTTTGTTTGCCTAAGTATGACCATCATCAACATACCACATCTTTACCAAACTTTGTGTTTTTGTGTCAGCAATTGGATATTGTTCTTAGGGGGGGGGGCTAGTTACCCCACGTTACCCTAGCAATAACAAGAAGAACCGACTCTTACTTTCACAATGACTGAGAAAAACCAACTGTTTATTGCCGATGGAAATGTAATGAATAGAGCTGTCATGATTTCTTACTCAATATGTCAGAGGCATGTCTTTTCTACACAGTATATTTCTATCTGAATGTTCCACAGTTGTGCTCTGCTGAATGTAGCCCTGGAGTAGACTGCTGGCCTGGTCCGTGTAAACCAACCGACCCCCTCCTTCACCCCCTTTTCCCACTCCATCTGTGTGCAAGCTGGGCCACATGAGGCATTGCACTCATCAGGAAAGGGGGGATGGGAGTGCATCTACAATTTATCGCCCATTCACCCTCAATGTATACTTTCACACACCTACACATACACATGCAGAGATGCGAAAACACACAAAGGATACAGATGTATTAGTCCCTATTGAAGTGTTCAAGATACCATTTGATTGAGATGCATGGAGATGATCAGACATTTTTCAACAGTCATACAGTTAGCACTGCCTTTGTGTGGAAAATAATGACAAAGAAACATTTTCAAACGATTGAATAATTCAAGACTTAGTCCCACTTCAAAGTATACCTTCTTTCAAAAATAAAAGCTTTATTCACCACACATTTATCTGCACAATATCTCATGCAAATATGGGAAACCCATTGGTCTCAGAGAACATCATGTTGGTGAACTCTCTATTGAACTAGCCTGATTCCCTGCTGGCGGGCTGCTTGCCTGGAGACATGTAATGATGCTGTCATGGTAGCTAAACTGCACTGCAATGGTCATGTGAGGTCATAACTGACCACTAAAGTTAACTCATATTTGATAAGAATGTTATTAGCTAGTATTTAATCTGTTTCTAACCCTATGTGGTAAAATGTAGAATAAAAGTGGCTCTACTCACTGCCTACAGAAGTGGTCACACAGAAAAGGCTCCTCTGGAACTGTGGATGCTTGAGAGAGGAAAATGGTTGGAAAAATGAACTGAGAGACAAGAGGGAAAACGTGCCTGCCTCAACTCCTCCAACAAGTAACTTCTACAGTTTCAGATTTTAGACTGGACGTTTCTCTGACCGGCACACAAAGAAAAAAAGCGTAAAGTTTTTTGCCATTAGGACACATCCCTCCTTCCCCCTCTCTTTTCCTTTACTCCCCTCCTCCCTCTCTGGCTGCCTTGCTTCCCAGAAAATGACTGGGCTCCTGGGCTCCACACAGATTGTTCTTGTTAGGCAGTAGTCTAATGTGATGTGGGGGCAGGGGGCTTGGCTCTCCTGTCCCATATCTAGATGCTCAAGGCCAGAGTCAACAAGACTGCAGCAAACTGGCTGGAGCTCAGAGTGAGTGGAAAAAATAAGCGTTCAGGGGAATAGACAGAGACTCAACTAACTGCAGACATTTTATTGGATGATTTGTTTGTCGCTTGGCTTACTCCCTCTGTCTTCTTACATGTACTTAGCCCTCTTAAAACATTTTGGGCCTCCTAAACAAGAACTCTATCAAGGCCTTTCAGATTGCTGAATTCACTTGCACTTACCCTCTCACACACTTTCCTCACTCCTAGATATACACATCTCCCACACTAGCTAGAGTGAAACTCTCAAGAGGTTATAGTTATGGCTAAAGGTTTTTTTGGGCCCACACTGTCCCTCTGACACCCAGGTGACTTACAGCAGACCAGCCACGTTAACAGACATGCAGCTCCACAGTTTGATCGTCTCTCACAGGAAGGGGTTAATGTTTCCTGTGTGGACACCCTGGTCTCATAGACTAGACGTAACATAGTAAATGCAAATCCGGGACACTCAAATTAGTATGATACATTATATGTACAAAGGTATGTGGACACCCCTTCAAATTAGTGGATTCGGCTATTTCAGCCACGCTTTTTGCTGACAGGTGTATAAAATCGAGCACACAGCCATGCAATCTCCATAGACAAAACATTTCTGTAGAATGGCCTTACTGAAGAGCTCAGTGACTTTCAACGTGGCACCATCATAGGATGCCACCTTTCCAACAAGTCAGTTCGTCACATTTCTGCCCTGCTAGAGCTGCCCCGGTCAACTGTAAGTGCTGTTATTGTGAAGTGGAAAAGTCTAGGAGCAACAACGGCTCAGCCGTGAAGTGGTATGCCACACAAGCTCACAGAACGGGACCGCCGAATGCTGAAGCGCGTAGCGTGTACAAATTGTCTGTCCTCAGTTGCAACACACACTACCGAGTTCCAAACTGCCTCTGGAAGCAACGTCAGCACAATAACTGTTCGTCGGGAGCTTCATGAAATGGGTTTCCATGGCCGAGTAGCCACACACAAGCCTAAGATCACCATGCGCAATGCCAAGCGTAGGCTGGAGTGGTGTAAAGCTCGCTGCCATTGGACTGTGGAGCAGTGAAAACGCGTTCTCTGGAGTGATGAATCACGCTTCACCATCTGGCAGTCCGACAGGAGAATCCGGGTTTGGTGGAAGAAGAAGACGCTACCTGCCTGAATGCATAGTGCCAACTGTAAAGTTAGGTGGAGAAGGAATAATGGTCTGGGGCTGTTTTTCATGGTTCGGGCTAGGCCCCTTTGTTCCAGTGAAGGGAAATCTTAATGCTACAGCATACAATGACATTCTAGACGATTCTGTGCTTCCAATTTTGTGGCAACAATGGGAATGCCCTTTCCTGTTTCAGCATGACAATGCCCCCGTGCACAAAGTGAGGTCCATACAGAAATAGTTTGTCGAGATCGGTGTGGAAGAACTTGACTCGCCTGCACGGAGCCCATACCTAATCGCTCAACATCAGTCCCCGACCTCACTAATGCTCTTGTGTCTGAATGGAAGCAAGTCCCTGCAGCAATGTTCCAACATCTAGTGGAAAGCCTTCCCAGAAGAATGGATGCTGTTATAGCAGCAAAGGGGGGACCAACTTCATATTAATGCCCATGATTTTGGAATGAGCTGTTCGACAAGCAGGTGTCCACATACTTTTGGTTATGTAGTGTATGTTACGTTTGGTGTGGTTAATTAAGACAGAAGGTTACTTAAGGCAAAAACGAAGGTAGGGTGGTTGGTCGGGGTTGATGGGTGGGCCTATAACGCAAAAGTCTTTGTAACTACTTAGCATGTTAGCTAAGCCTTCCCTTAACTCAAACCTTAACCCCTAACCCAGCTAACGTTAGCCACCTAACTAACATTAGCATTAGCCACAACAAATTGGAATTCGTAACATATTATACGTTTCGCAAATTCGTAACATATTGTACGAATTGCAATTCGTAACATAATATACAAAATGGATGATGGACATCCACAAATTAATATCATACTAATTGGAGTGGCCCAGATTTTATTTTTGTATGTTACGTCTATCGCTGAGTCCAGGTTGGTGTGGACATATGTAGGGGGGTTGGGGCACGTGCTGAGGGCCTTGCCAGAAACAATGAGCAGGGTGTTCTATGGAGTTTAGTTAAACATGCGCAATGTGTAGCCACAGTTAAGAGAGAGAAAGAACCAGCAAGCGAGAATGTGTGTGTGTGCACATGCACAGTGATATGGATGTGTATAGAGTAAACACAGCTATAGGTTAGAATGTGTGTATGTTTGGCCGGCCAGCTGGTTGACTATGTTTGAGATTCATCCAGACCGGCCAACCTTTATTTGGTCATCATGACAGTGAGGTGGTTACAGAGTTTATACCCTAGTGTCTAGTCTATGATTCAATTTGTCTTATAAGCTCTGTCTACATCCCTCAGTGTCATCTTTCCCTGGCATGAAAATTCCCACTTTGATTCCAGTTTTATAATATACAGCCTGTTGATGTGTATGAAGCATGTGGACTGAGATGTGAATCTCAGCTTCTGCAAATAAATAACTTTGATATTGATGCCAGAAAGGGCTCTTGAATGCATGTAAAGTAATGCTTATCTACTTATTATGAGTACATAGTAAAACAAAGGGAAATATCAATGCATATTACAAACCATAGGGCATAGTTTTATAGTGACAAATCGAGAGGGTCCATGTTTGAAAAACTGAAATGCCACCTGGCTTTAATCACCACAGACACAGTCATGAGCCATCTGCCCTTTGTTTAGTATCCCTGTGTCATTTATGTACAGTTTTGTTATGATCTATTCATCTGTTCCAGTCTTTTGTGATCAATTCCCACTGGGCACACCACGTCATTTCAACTTGGAAATTTGGGTAATATTTGGTTCGGATGTTGATCAATGAGATTTCATCCTTTATTCACCCACTCAAAAAGACAGCCAGATGTTTGTTGAATTCCCAATGTGTTATCACTATGCTTTCAACCATCTAAAAGCACAACCAAATTCCAATGGAAAAACAATGTCTGATTTTTGGTTTAGTTATCAACTAAATGTGTTATCACTGTGCTTTCAACCATTTAAAAGCACAAGAAAGTTCAAATGGGGATACAATATAGTCAGATATTTTGTATAATACAATAAATAACTTAATGTGTTATCACTGTGCTTCATCTAATATCACAACCAAATGACCTGGATTGCAGTTGAGATCACATTAACAGTACATAGTGCAAGTGATCAATGCTGTTCAAGATTCTGCGCAGATTATTACAGAAATTGTGAAGATCTCCACAGACCTGCGACCTTTGCTATCGTGAACATGCAGGCTTTCTATGATTACATAAGACATTTATAGTTACAGTAGGCTAACCTCAAAATGTGGCCATGGATGTGTTAATAATTTTAAGGTTGAACAACTACTGTTACATTAGTTTGTAACTTTAGGCTATTTATTTTATTACAAAAGGTTTATTGAATTGTGTTTGGTTGACAACGCAACCAAATATCAACATTTAAATAATTTAATGCTTGGATAGTTTCATCTGAGCCACTGGCTTAATCCTATTCTTTAACTTTTATTTTTGGTTAAGTTAGAGAAGTGAATCCAGCATAGAGTATTGTTAACTTGTCGACAAGTTAATAGGCTATTTACTGTATCGCAAAAGTGATGTGTTTGGTTGTCAAAAATGGGTTACCATGGTGACTTAATCCTGTGGTTGAAATTTCAATCTCAAAACAACAGATGACTTTTTGTAAATCCAATGTATTTTAAACGTAGATTCCACATCACAATAAGTTGACAAATTACATTGAAACAACGTTGATTCAACCAGTTTGTCTCCAGTGGGTTTCAGTTAAATTGTCCAGCCTCTTCATTGTATTTGACTGGACTCAGAGACAAACAGACATGTGACGTCTCAAGGAAACCTGTCCTTTCTTTCACATTAAGCCTTTAATAAAGTCAAACATCTGAGGGCTTGAGAGGTTTAAAGGGGGTTCGGTTTAGCAATGAGATCTTTGTATTATGAGTTTCTATGGAAATACAGTACCTTGCAAAAGTATTCATCCCCCTTGGCGTTTTTCCTATTTTGTTGCATTACAACCTGTAATTTAAATTGATTTTTATTTGGATTTCATGTAATGAACATACACAAAATAGTCCAAATTGGTGAAGTGAAATGAAAAAAATAACTTGTTTCAAAAAATTCAAAAAAATAAATAACGGAAAAGTGGTGCGTGCATATGTATTCACCCTTTTTGCTAAGAAGCCCCTAAATAAGATCTGGTGCAACCAATTACCTTCAGAAGTCACATAATTAGTTAAATAAAGTCCACCTGTGTGCAATCTAAGTGTCACATGATCTGAAAGGCCCCAGACTCTGCAACACCACTAAGCAAGGGGCACCACCAAGCAAGCGGCACCATGAAGACCAAGGACCTCTCCAAACAGGTCAGGGACAAAGTTGTGGAGAAGTACAGATCGGTTGGGTCATAAAAAAATATCAGAAACTTTGAACTTCCCACGGAGCACCATTAAATCCATTATAAAAAAATTGAAAGAATATGGCACCACAACAAACCTGCCAAGAGAGGGCTGCCCACCAAAACTCACGGACCAGGCAAGGAGGGCATTCATCAGAGAGGCAACAAAAAGACCAAAGATAACCCTGAAGGAGCTGCAAAGCTCCACAGCGGAGATTGGAGTATCTGTCCATAGGACCACTTTAAGCCGTACACTCCACAGAGCTGGGCTTTACGGAAGAGTGGCCAGAAAAAAGTCATTGCTTCAAGAAAAAATAAGCAAACACGTTTGGTGTTCGCCAAAAGGCATGTGGGAGACTCCCCAAACATATGGAAGAAGGTACTCTGGTCAGATGAGACTAAAATTGAGCTTTTTGGCCATCAAGGAAAACGCTATGTCTGGCGCAAACCCAACACCTCTCATCACCCCGAGAACACCATCGCCACAGTGAAGCATGATGGTGGCATGATGGTTTTTGTCATTATGGGGTATTGTGTGTAGATTGATGAGGAACATTTTTTTATTTAATCAATTTTAGAATAAGGCTGTAACGTAACAAAATGTGGAAAAAGGAAGAGGTCTGAATACTTTCAGAATGCGCTGTATCTACCACCTTGTAAAGGACATTTCATCACATGTCTTTCCTTGGATTCTCCTGACCCTGTCTATAGTCAGATATTCTTCATACAGTTGGCCCACTGTACATCAAGGTAGATTGTTTAGTTATCAAGACCTCATAAGAACTCACAAGAACAATGTTTTCTGCAGAAAACAAATAAATAAAGAATGTTGAAGGCTATAACATTCTAAACTCATAAATCCCAAAACAGCCCATGCACCCAGTGACAAAACGAACATTCATCATAAGCAGTCATAATCCAAGTCCAGGTTTTCTTCTAGCTCTGTAAGTGTGTATGTGCGGGAATGATTGTCCTAAAAAATAACTCTATAAATCAATTGTAGATCTTAAATCTCTCCAGTAAACTGTCCATGTAGAATGAAGAGCCCTTGTGAAAACATGCCTCTCTGTCTCCTGTTGTTAAGTGAAATACCATCAGGGCTTGGTTCGGGAAGGTTTCCAAAGACAAGCAAACCCTTTTTACATCAATCATCCTGTTTTAGGGGAACTTCACTATCAACTGTCTTACAGATTCATGTCAGTGTACATTTTTTAAAATGAAATCTCACTCATAACTACTCAGTCTGCATTGGGTTGCATGACGTTTGAGAATGATTGACCACCTGACTTCTCCAAACTTGGTCACTGTTTGTTGTATACATGTCACGATAAAGTAACGTATCACTGGTTCTCCATTTGTGGTTTCTATGTCTCTTCCTCTACTGTAGTGATTCCCAAACTCGGTCCTGGGGACCCCAAGGGTTGCACGTTTAGGTTTTTGCTCTAACACTACAGAGTTGATTCAAATGATCAAAGCTTAAAGATTATTTGAGTCAGCTGTGTAGTGCTACGGTCAAAAAACAAAACGTGCACCCCTTGGGGTCCCTAGGACCGAGTCTACTGGCTGCGTGAGACAGATGTGCAGCGAGGCCCAACCAACAACTTCAAAGAAGAAGCTGGAATCTATTCTAAGAGCAACAGTTTCCATATTCACAGCAGTCGACCAGTCAGATGTGCAATTCAAAGTCTAATCAAATGAAAAAAGTCCTCCTCTAACCCAGAGTAAGGAGTAAAACTACAAAGGTTTTATACACTCCCATAGTCACTGTTTTTAATCCTTTCCCTTGATAAACTTTATGATGGCTGGGATGAACTGAACAAGACCATCAGCCATCAGGCTTGGAGGAGTTGTGTACCCTGTGTAATTGGACCATATAGCACCTCACACAGTGTAATATAGTCGGACACCGTCTCCATCCACACTCAACGAGCTGTATAGGGCCATAAGCAAACAAGAAAATGCTTATCTGAAGCGGCGCTCCTGGTGGTCGGTGATTTTAATGCAGGAAAACTGAAATCCATTTTACCTCATTTCTACCACCTGTGCAACTAGAGGGGAAAAAACTCTAGATCACCTTTACTCCACACACAGAGACGCATACAAAGCTCTCCCTCGACTGACCATAACTCTATCCTCCTGATTCCTGCTTACAAGCAAAAACTCAAACAGGAAGTACCAGTGACATGCTCAATACGGAAGTGGTCTGATGAAGCGGATGCTAAGATACAGGACTGTTTCGCTAGCACAGACTGGAATATGTTAACGGGATTCATCCGATGGCATTGAGGAATTTACCACATCAGTCACTGGCTTCATTAATAAGTGCATCAATGACGTCGTCCCCACAGTGACCGTACGTACATACCCCAACCAGAAGCCATGGATTACAGGCAACATCCGCACTGAGCTAAAGGCTAGAGCTGCCGCTTTCAAGGAGCGGGACACTAATCCGGACGCTTATAAAAAATCCTGCTATGCTTTCCGATGAACCATCAAACAGGCAAAGCGTCAATACAGGACTAAGATCGAATCATACTACACCGACTCTGACGCTCATCGGATGTGGCAGGGCTTGCAAACTATCACGGATTACAAAGGGAAACCCAGCCGAGAGCTGCCCACTGACGCGAGCCTACCAGACAAGCTAAATGCCTTAGTATGCCTTCTATGCTTTCTTCAAGGCAAGCAACATTGAACCATGTGTGAGAGCACCAGCAGTTCCAGATGACTGTATGATCACTCTCTCTGTAGCGATGTAAGTAAGACCTTTAAACAGGTTAACGTTCAAAAGGCCCGGGGCCAGACGGATTACCAGGATGCATACTCAGAGCATACGCTGACCAGCTGGCAAGTGTCTTCACTGACCTATTCAACCTCTCCCTGACCCAGTCTGTAATACCTACATGTTTCAAGCAAACCACCATATTCCCTGTGCACTCACATCTGTAGCCATAAAATGCTTTGAAAGGCTGGTCATGGCTCACATCAACACCATCATCCCAGAAACCCTAGACCCACTCCAATTCGCATACCGCTCCAGCAGATCCACAGATGACGCAATCTCTATTGCTCTCCACACTGCCCTTTCCCACCTGGACAAAATGAACACCTACGTGAGATTGCTGTTCATTGAATATAGCTTAGCGTTCAATACCATAGTGCCCTTCAAGCTCATCACTAAGCTAAGGAGCCTGGGACTGAACACTTCCCTCTGCACAGGTGGTGAGGGTAGGCAACAACACATCTGCCACGCTGACCCTCAACACGGGGGCCCATCAGGGGTGCGTGCTCAGTCCCCTCCTGTATTCCCTGTTCACCACGACTGCGTGGCCATGCACGACTCCAACACCATCATTAAATTTGCCGACGACACGACGGTGGTCGACGACGATGAAACAGCCTATAAGGAGGAGGTTAGAGACCTGGCAGTGTGGTCTCAGGACAACAATCTCTCCCTCAACGTGGGCAAGACGAAGGAGCTTATTGTGGACTACAGGAAACGGAGGGTCGAACAAGCCACAATTCACATCGACGAGGCTGTAGGGGAGCAGGTCTAGAGCTCCAAGTTCCTCTGTGTCCACATCACTAAGGACCTATTATGGTCCAAACACACCAACACAGTCGTGAAGAGGGCACGACAACGTATTATCGCAATTACCTCAACTACCTCTTACCCCTGCACATTGACTCGGTACTGTTACTCCTTGTATATAGCCTGTTATTTTGTTGTGTTACTATTTCCTTGTTCTTTTTAGCAAATATTTGTCTTACTTTTTAACTCTGCATTTTTGGAAATGGGCTCGTAAGTAAGCATTTCACGGTAAAGTCTACACCTGTTGTATTCGGCGCATGTGACCAATAAAATCTGATTTGATTTTTTGATTTGATATCTAGACTCTAGACTGTGGTCGTTGGTCATTGTCTGTCAGCAAGCTGTGGACGGTTACATCATCTCCCCCCTCGTCATCACTATCTAACTCTGTTCCATGCAGCAGGGCTCTGTTGCTCTTCGGGATGAGGGGTCTCCCATGTGGGCCATTGGCATCGGGGAGCAGAGCAGAGATACACACCATCTCTGTGCCCCGGTGGTCTGAGCCCACTGTGTAGCGGTGCCAACATCATGGTGCCAACTCTGAAATGAGAAAACAGGACACACGTTACTGATTGTATGTGGTATGCTATTAGATATCAAATAATATCAGAAAATCTGCTGCAATATGGCAGTGGCATCAGGAAGCAGACTATCAACGCTCACATGCAGGGCAACTAATGGATGATGTAACTGGCCTTTGAAAACCGTTGTTTGTGACAAAGCACCATGCCACTGTGGGTGGTGACATCGTCAGCATGTCATGGTGAAACAGTATGTTACTCATAACTATCACCACACCCATGTAACGGATGAAACAGGAACTCAAAGGTATCATGGACTTTATAATTATATATTAAGAATAATATATTATTCTTTGCAAACAACTTTGGTAGCATCAATAAAATTAAAATAAAGCATTTAAAGAATAAAACAAATGAGGCACCTCAAGACAAGCAAACTCTGGAACAAATGAAATAGGCACATTTTACACACAGCATCCAGTCTTCAAAACCTCTCCATTGAAACAGGCACTTACTGTCAGTAATCCTTAAGTCTTACCTCTCAGATGGGGAACTGTAGTAAAAGACGTGGAAGGATAGGAGGCTCAAATTGGTGATGCTGGAGTTAAGCACATGCCTGCATGCCTTGACGAGCTGATGGTAGAGGCACAACAGGGATCTACCTGATATGAAGAAACAGGAAATGTGCACAGTTCTGCATAAATTGAGTTCTCACTGACGCAAGTGTGCGACTGACAAGGCCAGAGATGCCTTGAGGTTTTTTACCTTTCCCTTATTTAGGGTTTTTGAGCGGATAAGATTAAATTTGCAGTGCATTTATGGACTTTAGTTTTGGCTCTAAGAATGTGAAACTTAAGAACTACACTCATCAGATCAATAGTAGATCAATACATCTCAAAAACCACCCAATATCATACTTTGGGAAATATGAAACTTTCCAAAGGCCCTCTCTCTCACTATAGTTTTAAAGGGTAAGCAGTGGTGTAGTGGAGGGTGTACACCATATACCCACCATATACTGTACCCACCCGTGCGTCAATCTAAGTAACATAATAAAAAATCCCCATCAAAATCCTTCCGTTTAAGAGAGATATCCGTTTTTGCATGGGCTGCGTCTCAATCCACCGCCTCCGCCTATGTCAGCCTTCCATATCTGCGGTGGAAGGGGACCGAGCTACAGCGGTGTTTGTCAGTCCATGAGACATCCCCAAAATCGTCCTTCTCAAGAAAACGTCTGTAGCGTCCGAACGGTTTGGCCTACAAACTAATATGACCCCGCTGGGAAGTAGTTTTGTCCCAACATAAGGGGTTAAATATGTGTAAAGAATATATATATATATATATATATATATATATATATATATATATATATATATATATATATATATATTCTTTACACATATTTAACCCCTTATGTTGGGACAAAACTACTTCCATTCATTTGTATAGGTTACCTTCAGACAAATCCCGTGACACTTGTGGAGGTGAGAGTCTTTATATATATATATATATATATATATATATATATATATATATATACTTCCTGAGCTTTCTTATATCTCATAGATATAGGACAGACACTTCAAAACCTTATTCCTTATGATAGATTTTTTGACTGTATTTTTTGCCATTTATGAATGTGTTATTCAATGTGCTTCTATGGCCTATAGTAAATGCAATTTGCGGGAAAACACTGTTCTAAAATGCGCACTGCACATGCGACAGGTTTCAGATAGAAAGGCTTTCCCAAAAACCTTCTGAATTAAATGTTAATTAGCTATCTTGCAAAATGATATCATGATTATTTGCATTATTTGCAAACTCCATGTGCGCTACAGAGACAATGGTAACCAAACAACAGTTGGTTGCAATTTCAATTTAATCCTCCAGAAACGACAGAACAAATAATGCAACAAATATTGTGGTTAAATTCAAATATACTAATTGACAAAAAACCTTTATTTTTTGACAGAATGTTTAAAAAAGGTATAATCTTCGTAAATGATATCATCGGTAGGACTGGTGGAGTTATGTCGCACATGCAGCTAACAAAAACATATGGAAATGTCTGCTCTACCCAAAATTACAACCAAATAATTGCAGCCTTACCGCAAAAGTGGAAGAGGAAAGTTGAAGGGGGAGAAAGTAAGGAACTTGTCTGTCGGCCTTGCATTAAAGAACATAATTGGTTAAGGAAAACTGTGATAAATAAAAAAGTATATCAGTTTCACTTAAGGACCAAAGGATTGACAGCCGTCCCATATAGATTGCAAAATAGTTGGGAAGAGATCTTTGACGTACCGATCCCATGGCATAGTGTTTATGAACTGACACGCAAAACGACACCGGATTCAAAAATTAGAATCTTTCAATTTAAATTATTATATAAAATTCTTGCTACCAATAGAATGTTATTTATATGGGGGATACAATCTTCCCAGCTCTGCAGATTTTGCTGTGAAGAGATAGAATCATTAGATCATTTGTTTTGGTTCTGTCCATTTGTAGCTTGTTTTTGGACACAGGTCCAGGAATGGCTAAAGGATTGCAATATTTACCTGGAACTAACCTTGCAGATAGCATTACTGGGTGATCTGAAAAGTCATAGTCAATCAATCAATAATATAATAATACTTTTAGCAAAAATGTTTATTTTTAATTCACAATCTGTAGAAGCAATGAGAATAGAAAGGTTCAGAACTTTTTTAAAACATCACAGTACGGTTGAAATATATATGGCAAATAGAAATCCTATATGGATGGTGTTAAGAGATAGATGGGAGGTATTGAATAGAGTTGAAGGATGGGACTAATAACAAATAACAACAAATAATAACAAAGATAGCTAATAATGTAAGCATACTGTGTCCATAATAAGTATATAGGTTGTATGTTGGGAGCTTTTGGGAAAGAGCACAGTTAGAAAGATATGGCATTTAGAAGCAAACCGGATGGACATCATGAAAATGATCGGAGAGGTTGAGAGTAGAAGAAGTTCAGGAGCAAAAAAATAAATAAATATATATATATATATATATAGATATAGAATTATTGTAAAATTAACTCTGTCCATAAGGTGTAGATAGTAAGTATAGACCGGAAGTAGAGGCCTGGGCGTTGTTGTTCACTAATTTACTCCAAGTAGGGAAAGGATGGTGGGGTTGAAAAGTAATAAAGGGGAATATATATATAAAAAATAAAAAATAAACATGGGGGATTGGAAGTGATGCAGACAATTACATTGATAGAATATACAATCTATCTGCAATATTAAGCTGATCCATCCCCCCCCCAAAAAAAAAAAAAAAATAAAAAAAAAAAAAAAAAAAAAAAAAAAACAACAACAGTGACTGCACACTTTAATTTCTTAGATTTTTCCCAGATCTCAAAAGTGGTTTCCTGATGTGGTTTAAAGCTACAATATGTAACTTTTTGGGCAACCCAACCAAATTCACATTGCAAATTATGGTGGAAAATAAGTATTTGGTCACCTACAAACAAGCAAGATTTCTGGCTCTCACAGACCTGTAACTTCTTCTTTAAGAGGCTCCTCTGTCCTCCACTCGTTACCTGTATTAATGGCACCTGTTTGAACTTGTTATCAGTATAAAAGACACCTGTCCACAACCTCAAACAGTCACACTCCAAACTCCACTATGGCCAAGACCAAAGAGCTGTCAAAGGACACCAGAAACAAAATTGTAGACCTGCACCAGGCTGGGAAGACTGAATCTGCAATAGGTAAGCAGCTTGGTTTGAAGAAATCAACTGTGGGAGCAATTATTAGGAAATGGAAGACATACAAGACCACTGATAATCTCCCTCGATCTGGGGCTCCACGCAAGATCTCACCCCGTGGGGTCAAAATGATCACAAGAACGGTGAGCAAAAATCCCGAACCACACAGGGGGACCTAGTGAATGACCTGCAGAGAGCTGGGACCAAAGTAACAAAGCCTACCATCAGTAACACACTACGCCGCCAGGGACTAAAATCCTGCAGTGCCAGACGTGTCCCCCTGCTTAAGCCAGTACATGTCCAGGCCCGTCTGAAGTTTGCTAGAGTGCATTTGGATGATCCAGAAGAGGATTGGGAGAATGTCATATGAAACCAAAATATTACTTTTTGGTAAAAAACTCAACTCGTCGTGTTTGGAGGACAAAGAATGCTGAGTTGCATCCAAAGAACACCATACCTACTGTGAAGCATGGGGGTGGAAACATCATGCTTTGGGGCTGTTTTTCTGCAAATGGACCAGGACGACTGATCCGTGTAAAGGAAAGAATGAATGGGGCCATGTATCGTGAGATTTTGAGTGAAAACCTCCTTCCATCAGCAAGGGCATTGAAGATGAAACGTGTCTGGGTCTTTCAGCATGACAATGATCCCAAACACACTGCCCGGGCAACGAAGGAGTGGCTTCGTAAGAAGCATTTCAAGGTCCTGGAGTGGCCTAGCCAGTCTCCAGATCTCAACCCCATAGAAAATCTTTGGAGGGAGTTGAAAGTCTGTGTTGCCCAGCGACAGCCGCAAAACATCACTGCTCTAGAGGAGATCTGCATGGAGGAATGGGCCAAAATACCAGCAACAGTGTGTGAAAACCTTGTGAAGACTTACAGAAAACGTTTGACCTGTGTCATTGCCAACAAAGGGTATATAACAAAGTATTGAGAAACTTTTGTTATTGACCAAATACTTATTTTCCACCATAATTTGCAAATAAATTCATTAAAAATCCTACAATGTGATTTTCTGGATTTTTTTTCCTCATTTTTTCTGTCATAGTTGACGTGTACCTATGATGAAAATTACAGGCCTCTCTCATCTTTTTAAGTGGGAGAACTTGCACAATTGGTGGCTGACTAAATACTTTTTTTCCCCACTGTAGAAGTGAGGTAAAGATCTGTCATTCTCATTGAAAGCAAGTCTAAAAAGCAGTAGATCTGTTCTATGTGCGCTA